AAATTATCAATTCAAAAAAATATTTGTCAGATGAAAATGGTTATTATCATCATCCAAAATCATATTTTACAAGTTGTCCACTAAATGAAATTATTGAACAAGTTAATGAATTGAGGATTTTTAGTAAAAATAATGGTAATTATTTGATTGTTAATTTTAAAATTCAAATATTAACATAACATTAACATTAACATTAACATTAACATTAACATTAACATTATTGTTATAAATTATCATATTCATAGTTTCTCATCTAATGGATAAGTTCATTTGATCATTGGAATTTTCACATTAGTCTTTTTATTATTATAAGAAAGTAATTTTACATTAAAAATTTTTTTAATGATGTGATCAATTTATTTATTAGATATTAGTTATTACTTATATATATTGTTAATGTAAAAAACTAAATCTTCAGTTAACAGTTGGTTAATAATCACAACTTAATGGCTTATTTAATTAGATCATATGAAATTATTTATTTGGTATTTAGTATTAGCCTATAACTATATTATATACATATATTACAATAAAAATTTTTCTTTTCTAAAAAATAAAATTTATTAAGAACTGCACTAAATATAAATGTAAGAAAGATGCTCTGCCCCAAAAAAAACATTTTTAGTGTCAGCAATAATAACAATGGATTCAATTATTTTTTAAATTAAATACTTACTAATGCTAACTAATCAGAATCAATAACAATAAAACAATGCATTTCTAAAATGTAAAATAAACAAAATTTATTCTTACTAATTTATTTCAAAATTAATTAAAGAACATATCAATCAATCAATAGTGATTGTTGTCACACTAACCAAATAGTTCTCTGTTCATTCACCTGGAAAAAGTAGTTATTATGATAAACATTTATCATGTGGAAAAAATCCTTCCCAAAAAATCTAGTTTTAAAAACAGAGATTTTTTCTATTCATATTCTGCATTGTTCACTCCCTTCATTTCACCTTGCCTCATGCTTGCTAAAGATTAATGAATAAAACATGGCACAAAATTGGGTTGATTGTGCCAAAAACCAAAAACCAAAATATAAACTTATTGTAAGGAGTAAACAAACTTGATCCAAGGAATCAATGTGTTTGATGTAAGGAAGAAACATACTTGTTACAATGAATCAACATGCTTGATGTAAGAAAAAAGCATACTCAATGTAAGAAACAGGACACATGAAAAGGGCAGGTGTGACTTGGACCCGTCCTCCATCCTTTTCATGTTTAGCCCATGAATACTAGAAAAGGATGAACAATGGTACGGGTGCCCTGCAAAATAGTATATATAAAAAAAACGGGCAATTAACAAGGGACGGATGTGGTACAGTGACCCATCCCCAATCCTTTTCTATTATTCATGAGAAGGACAGGTGAAAAAAGAGATGGGTTTGCTGTAACATTACTGCCCGTCCCTGATGTTTTCTTAAAAAGGACGGCATTAATATTGTATAACAATGAAAAGGATGGGGGACGGATTCAAGCCACACCTGCCCATCCCCTGCCCTTTTCATGTATCCGATTATATTATATATTTTAATTAGCTTATTTATTATTTATTATGATTTGTATTCTTTATTATTTTATTTTTACATGAGTTTTAACCGTAATTGTATAATAAAAAATAAAAATCAAGACCTTAGATAAGGAATAAATAGAGATGGGAAATTATAATAGTCCGATTTTGCATCCTGTTTACTAAAAATTATACTTATGACAAACACCTTTCGCCTGTCCTTTTCAAGGTTGCCCGCGAATAATAAAAAGGAGCAGTGGGATGTGTGGTAATGGCACAGTAACCTGTCCTTTTCAAGATTTGCCCATGAATAATAGAAAAGGACAGGGGTCGAGTTTCTGCGCCTTCACTACGCCATATATGTTCAATGTTAGTTGCCTGTCCTTTTTTACATTATTTTGCAGAATACCCGTCCTTTCCTAGTATTAATGGGCCAAACTTGAAAAGGATGGGGGACAGGCAGGTGTAGTTTGAACCCGTCCCTGTCCTTTTCCAGCATCCTGAAAGAAACATACTTATAACAAGGAAACAACATGTGTATTTTGATATTCTTTATCTTTTTAATTCAAATTTTTTTATTGCAGTTTCTTTTTGTCTGGTATTTTCTTTTTTTGCTTGCGATTTTTTAGATTTTTGCTTATCTTTAGGTTTTTTTTTTAATGTATGTCATTTAACTAATTAATATTATTGTAATTGAAAAATTATAAATGATAAAATTGAATATCTACTACTACTAGCATTATTATCATTGTTTCTTGCTCTATTATTATTACTGACGTTATTATTACTTCTGTAATTACCATTATCATTACTTATTATTATTATTATTATTATTACTGGTGTTATTATTGCTTCCATAATTACCATATCTACTACCACTGCTATCATTATCATTACTGTTATTATTTATTACTTACTGGTGTTTCCGAAACTCATGAGTTTAGAATTAAAACCATTCTAAACTGGTTTAGAAAATGAGCCTAAATTCCTAAACTGTTCAAAACTCCTAAACTGTTTCTAAAATCAAACAAATATTCTTAATCTTTATTTTTTACTTTGCTTATTATTATTATCACCCATTATTAATAAAGTTTTTAAAAAATAATAATTTTTTACATAATTTGGTGGAAGTGAAATTTCAGCATCAAAATCAAATACTTCTGGATTACCACAAGTCACAAAAACCTTTAAAATTGAACGATCAATAATTCCTGCTCATTTTTAATAATATATCATCCCAAAAATTAGCAAGTGATTGTGTATTTGCTTTATATGCTGCATTTTCTAAAGATTCGCTTACACCATCTCTTTCTGCAACATATATCTTTTTTTGATATATTCACATTCATGTGCTAAATGGACTTGCAGTTTATTAGTTACTCCATTACTCCATTTACAATTACATGTTTTGCATTTGGTTCTAAAATGTTGTCAAACTGCATTTTTTTGAATTATTTATATCTACATCAATATTGTGATTAAAAAAAATTTATATATTTTTAAGAAAGAGAAAAATTATATAACAAATAAAAAAATTATTATATTTTTTTGATTTAAACTAAACCAATTAATTAATTAATTTTCAGGACAATAATATCAAATAAAATGAACTTTTGATAAAAACGTGGTCACTTGAAGAGAAAATTATAATCATGGTAGTAATTTTATGGATCACAGAAAATTAAATCGAAAATGATTTACAAAATAAAAAAGAAAATGGAAAAATTCAATTGATTCACAGAAAATATCTGGAGTTTCGAAAATAGTTTAGGAGTTTCGAAATAGTTTAGGAGTTTCGGGTTAGGTTCGAAAGTAGTTTAGGGTTTCTAAACTAGTTTAAAAAAAGAGTTTAGAGTTTAGAATGGCAACTCTAAAACAGTGGTATAATCTCTTATTGATTTATTTTATTTAGTAAATATTTGATAAGCTTCCAAATGAATCTGGTTTGGTTTATAATTGTTGAGATATGTGATTTTTTGTGTGTGCCATTTTTTTTTGAAACACACTGTATATTTGCCTAAATATTAAAATGATAAAATATATTCACCTAAATGTTAAAATGATAAAATATATGACCTAAATGTTAAAAAAAAACAAGTTTCAATTAATTGAGCTTTCTTTTTAATATTTATAAAAAATTAAAATAATGAAATAATACCGCAAACTACCTTGACAATACCAAGTTAATAAAATTGTTTGATTAATGAAAATTTGTATTTTACTAAATAAATATTTATTTATTACTTTAACGTAATATACTTTAAACATTAAATTTAAATACTTTTTAAAAAATATTTTCGAAATATTTTAATTTAATATTTATTAATTGGTATGAAGATATGTATTAATTAATATTAAGCATTTAAATTTACTATTTAAAAAGCATTTAATATTAAGAAGTTATTTAGTAGTATTAATATAATTATTTACAAAGTAAATTTCCGGTTTACTAAATTTTGGTATAATATGCACTGTATCATTGAAGCAATAGGAATTAAAGTGTAATGCTCTACATGCTTAAGAATAGCAGAAGATGAGCGCGAGATCAAAATTTTAACCCATGCAATTGTTGATTGACCAATCAAAATCGTGAATTTGATGACGTAAAAATAAATGTTGGTTTGATTCATTTTGTCAACAATTACTTCACAATTGTTTCGTTAACAAAATGGTTCGAATTTAAGAAGCTGGATGCAACCATGCGACAAACCTTTGAAATAGTCTAATAGATTAACTTATACTACTCGAAAATGTATTAAAGGGTTGGTTTTCAACTTGGTTGAAGAATAACTCTTCCTGACCATATCATCAAAATAACCTTAATATGAATGTCTTGTAAAATTTACAATCCAAAAATTTTTTTTTGCGTGTTCTAATAAAATTTCCATTGTTGCTGCATCATCTGTTGCTGATTCAACATTACCCGGATCATCATCAACTGTATTTTCGTTATTTTCGATAAATTCATTTTCGTTTAATCTTTTGTCGTACATTCTTTTAGTGCGTTGATATTTTTTTTTTGATTTCAACTTGAAGATAGTTAGTCCAAGATATCAAACATTTAGATTGGCACCTTTGTAGACAATGATTGCGACAATTATGTCCACACATGAGTACACTGATCATATTAAATTAAATTGTTATCTTTTAAGGTAACTAAATTTCCAGTACCAAATTTTTTATAAGGATGTTTTGGGCTTGATAAAATTCTTCCAAGTTCATATAACCTAATTGTATCAGACTGAAGATTTTTTTAAATTCTATATATATTAAAAAAAACGATGGGATTATTTCAATCTACTATACAAACTAAATAATGTATAATGTATATATATATTATTGATCATTACCAGAGTCCACTGCATGAAGCTCCCTGTCAGTACAACTAGGATCAAATAATGGTGATATAAAAAATTGTGCAAATCTATAAAAAATTAATAATCAACTGATTAATTAATTAAAATTACAATGACTATTTTTTTAATTTTAAAGTATGTATTAAGTATTAGTTACCTATCCAAAGCACCTTCCAAGTTTTCATGAGCTACTTCAAAATAATAGTTTGTATGATCTTCACTAGTATATGCATTTGAATATCCACCATGATTTGATAAGTACTAATAAGAATCATAAATTATTATTATTGTGCAAACAAGTCCAAGTATAAATATCAACATAATCGTGTATTTTCCTGCAAAAATCATCCACAACTGCAAGCGTATTTTAAATTTTATTGGTGGGTTAGGCGTATTTAGAAATTACATTGGCAATCGCAGATGATTTTTGCATTTTAACACAATAATAAATTTCAATTACTTCAGAGTATTCATTTTCTTTTGGATACTACAAAATATAATTTTATAGTATTGAAAATTTGATTTCCATATCAATTTATCAATTGATCATTTATGATTTCTTTACCTTTTTTGTACCCTACAAATATTATTAAATTGATTGATGAGTTCTTAATTAGTTAAATATCATGATTTAAAATATGTATATAAATATTACCATGAATAAAAGATGTTCGCAGAAATGAGCAAGACCTTCTAAATTGTCCTAAACAACAACAATAATATGTTTTTTAATTTCTTCTTTATTTAGATTTTAGTATGCAACTGTGACTCCGAAAATTAATATATTGTATGATATTCATTTCTCAAAAATCATATAAAAGAAAATTGTGAAAGGTGAAATTTTCAGCTTAAAAAAATCGAGAAAATAACTGTTCTCTTT